CGGCTTCCGAACCGAACGAAGATTCGAATAACTCGAAAATTCCCGCCTCACGTGCTCGGATTGATCAGGTTTTTGAGCCAAAAAGCTGGAAGATGAGGAAGAAGAAGAAGTAGTATAAGCAGAAAATGCCTCCATATTTATGAAATTACCAATTTTCAAATAACAGAGGCAGAGCAATGACTAAAATCCAAGTGCGAAGATGGGAAAAGAAAGTCGAAAAAGTGGCATTTATATAAAGATTTGAAACGGCCCAAAAACGGGGGCAGTTGAGTAAGAAAGCAAAGTCAGAGATTCAAATGTTTCGCCTTTTGTCAACTTTCATCCAACGTCGACGATATGGGCACCAATTACCTGAAAGTGTCTACACGAACATGGTCAAACCCGTTAGTTTGACTTCAAATTCATTAAATCAAGTGAATGCACAGCAATGATTGGGCAAAATTCAACGGATAAAAATTGTAAAATTACGAAATTTATATTTGTGGGTGACGTGACGATTGTTTTAGAAGGTACAGCTGGAGAAGGCCATAACACATGAAAGAAATAGGAGACCGGGCAGCCGCCTCTCCTTTGTCGTTTTCCTCTTAATATTATATTACAGATCAGTTCCAAAACCCATCAGAAATGGCTTTAAAAAAAGGATTTGGATTTTGGAGCTTTGACCGTGATTGCACAACTGTTGTTTAAGATGAAGAAGACGATCTCTTAGAGATTATGTGATGCAATTTTACTTATATATATATAAGTTATCTTTATGGTGGACATTGAATTATATTCCACACTTAGTTGGCCGGTCTTTTCTATTATTTACTATTTTTCCTTTATCTAACTCCCCAAATTTTTGGAATGTTCTATAGTCATATATGTTATTGATTATAATTTGAATATTATGTCTATTATTTTTTTTTTTGTTATTGTAATTTAAATTGCACATCTATATTTGTTTTCAAGAATGGTCTCTTCTTCTAACTAGAGCAACAGGAATTATATATCTAATAAATTTATTTTATATAATATTGTGGATCTTGCTTTTTGATTTCAACTAGAAAACTACACTAAACTATCTTTAACAAATAATGAGAGAGGTTGTCTTTACTTATATACCATAGAATATATTTGGTAATATTAACTATGATTGTGTTCATATTCCAACTTCAACTACAAGGAATATGGAAGAATTTGAATGTGTCGACTTGAACATAGTTCGATCTGATTTACTTTTCATCAATGAACTTCAAGTTCATTTGATAAATTCTACATATATCTGGATACTTATATCCTCCAATTCATTTCCTTTTTTTTTTCTTTTTTGGAAATCCTTGACCATTAAAATATAGCAAATGGTTATTATGAAAGGAAAAAACAACAGTTGTTTTTTTTTTCCAAACACCCAGTTATTTTTTATTGGCTATAAGTTATAACTTCAAAAGTGTACTTTCCAGAGCAATTTACCAGTACAGTATAATCCTGAGTTTAGAAAAAAAAAAAAAAAAAAAAACCTACGAGTAAAATCCTTATTGAATATTCTAACTTCATTTAAATAATCCAGTTTACTTTTTTGATATCAAATCTTGTGAAAGTATAAGCCTACATACGTAAGATAAGATTGTGTAAAGAAAGATCTCGACATGACCCAATACAATTTTTATTTTACGTTCCATTGTATGAGGACCCATTTTATTTTAATCTATACTTAATTTATCCGTGCACTCTCCTCTAGATTTTTTTTAAATAATGTTTTTATTTAAACTTATTTTTAAAATAATGTTGTATTAAATAAAATTAAAGAAAAAATGTATATTTTGAAACTTATTCCAAAAATAATGTATTTAAAATTAGTCACCTACTCGGTCGTCTCTTGAACAGACGACCATGCCATTTTTAGATGTTGGTCGTCTCGATCATTTCTTCAAGAGACGATTTGGATATTTAAAAAAACTAAATATTATTATTTATTATATATTAAAAAGTAGATAACACTAAATTGAATCAACTAATAGCACAGTCGATGATGGTGCCACATTCAACCTTCAATACAGCGGTTCGAGCCTCGGTAAATGTAAGTTTTATTATATCCGAGTGAAGGTTCGATGTATAAACAATATAATAATAATAATAACTAAAAAGTTGATTAATAGTAGAAGAAGACAAAAATTTACAATTATTGAGGCATGAATCGTTACATTGAGAGTTGAATGCGGCACCATTATCCACTGTGCCACTAGATGATTCAATGTAGTATAATCTACTTTTTAAAATGTAATATAGTAATAATATTTAGTTTTTTTTTTAAATATCAAAGTCATCCCTCAAAGAAATGATCGGGAGGTCTGGTCCAAGACCAAATGGATGACTAATTTCAAACATATTATTTTTGGAATAAGTTTGAAAATATGCCTTTTTTCTTTAATTTTATTTAATGCAGTATTATTTTAAAAATAAATTTAAATAAAACATTATTTGAAAAAAAAAATCTCTCTCCTCTCCATATGAATTTGTCTGATATCTGTATTAAAATATTGGGTTCTTCGATTTTACTTAGAAAGTTCAATCTTTTTTATTCCTAAAAAGATATTAAAATCTTCATTGTTTAATAAAACTGGTCTATTTAAAACTCAGCCTTTCTTCTTTTTATTTTTTTTAAGAAAAAATTGACTTCTATCTAAATTAACAACTTAACAAGATATATCAATTTTTACTCTAAACTTTCTATTTCATTCCATTCATTTGAAGAATATTAAAAAATATATATTATGGATTATAAACATTTTTTTGAGAGAAAAAAAATTATAGACATATATCTAGTACAGTGGTGAAATTCCAAAAAAAAAAAATGATATGAGAGCTGTTTTTTTTTCTTTTCTTTTTACTGAAATTCCAAACAAATTTCATTCCATTCATGAGAGCTATCTAAATTAACAATTTATGATATTCATTGAAATTAATGTTTTTAGAAAATTTTACTTTAGTTTTTGTTAAAAGGATTAATGAATTGGATTAGCATAAATCGAATAGAAACTAAAAATTGCAACACTCATCTAATTATATCTAATTTTATTAGTATTTTTTTTCTTCTCTGACCAATTATTCCCTTCCAAATCCATTCCAAATCTCTCTTGTGGATTCTTGCTTAAACCCTGAGTTCCTATAATATTGGCAAATTTTATTCAACTTTTGAAACCTTTCAAGTCAATCAGAGGGATAGGACAGAAGTTAGATAGGGCAGTTTTTTAAAATTTTAATTGAAGTTAATATAGTAAGTATTTTTAATATCAGTTTTGCATAATAAAATATAATCATAATTTTTTGATGAATATATATACTTAATCATAAAATACTATAGCTTTTAAGTACATAAGTTCTCAAACTTTCTAGCCTGTCTATGTCAAATCATCACTTATTCCATGTCAGAAAAAATAAATCACTTATTAATCTAATTAGTATATCACACAAATTTTTAAGGTTAATTACAATGATTTATTAGAACGAAAATCATAAATTTAGGGACGAAAACTATAACTTTTTTAAAATTTGAGAATTAAATATACCCAACATAAAATTTTAGGACTGAATTTAAACATTTTTATGCAAAATGGTTTGCATATATAAATATTTTAATAATTATAAAAATTAACAAACTAAAAAGCTACAACAAAATGATTACAAGT